GTCTTTCTCACCCTGATGTTTCTCTCCCCTCTCTCTTCCACTTTCTCTGAAAATCAGTGGGAAAATATCGTCAGGTGAGGATTAGAAAAGAAAATGGACGAGGACCGGCTGCCCCGGGCTCCTTAGCCTGAGACCAGAGCCGGCTCTGCTCCGCCCCCTGCAGGCCTGTTCTCCCCTCACTTGGGGGCTCCCTTCCGCACTCCACTGGGGGTCCCTCTGTCCCACCAATCCCGTCCCCGGGGCCCAGGCTTTGCCGGCACAGGGCTTGTGGCGCCTCTGCCACGCTCTGGAGTTTGGAGAAGGTTCTAGTGGGTCAGTCTCTACAGGGAGTCCACCACGCCAGCCCCACGTTTAACTGTTTAAGTTCCTCTGGTTTGAATGGTTTGCGGAGAGGCTCCTGTGAGTAGGAGAGGAGTCCGCTGGGAGGAGAGAGCGTGCCGGGAGCCGGTCCATCCTTGCTGTTTCAAGGAACCTGGCGTATATGGCATACTGTTCTTAATGTTTGCTCACCTTCTTGGCGCTATGTGTTTTAACCAAGGTCACCTCTCCGAGAAAGGTTGTTTCCCCAGGTAGGGATTTTCCCCTGAAGTTAGGGAGGGAATAAAACCCCAACTGGCAACAGAACCTAGAGACAGAACCTAGCGAGAGAACCTGGCTCAAGAACCTAGAGACAGAACCTGGATACAGAACCTACATAACCTGGCAATAGAACCAGGCAAGAGAACCCAACCATGCTGATCAACTGAACACTGCCTCTGAGTCTTTCCCTCTTCACTGACTCCATCCACACCTTTGGGGACCCCTGGACCTGCTGGGGTTGGACCCCAGCAAGAGCGGCCTGGGGAGGAGGGGCAGTAGGAGTGAGCAGGCGGGACCCACTGGACAACGGGACATCTGTGGACCCATCAGAAGCTCACGTGACAAGGGGTGGGGCAGGGATTCTGTGGACAGAGCGGTCGGACCAGAGGGCCTGGTCCCTGCTGGGCGGTGCAGGCGGAGAAGGACAGCTCTGTCATCTCACCCCGGGGCCTGGCTGCCACGTGTATGTAATGAGGTTCCTTGTCTGGGAACGTCACGGTTTCCTAGTTTCAACGTTACCGTAATCTTACAGTAAGAGCTGGGTGGATTAAGAGCTTTCCTCGCTTCTGGCACGGGTGGGCGTCTTAGATGCGTCATCTCATTTCACCTTCCTACGGACCTCCTACACAGAGAGGAGCCAGAGGTTCGGGCTGCCCGGGGCAGCAGCTCCCGGCCGCAGTGAGGGGCGATCACCGGCCTCGGGCCTGTTGGGGGGCAGCAGCTCCCGGCCCAGTGCAGGGCGCCCGCGGCCTTGGGCCTGCTCGCGCGCAGCTTTTCTCCCACGCCATTCACACTTGCCCTCGTCCTGGCTCTGTGGTGCGCCTGACATCACCGGGGAGGCAAACCCCACCAAGAACAGGCTCGGGGCCCTCGGGGAAGCGGAAGGGCGTCGTTTCCCAGACCCGCGGTCAGGGTCTGGCCCTGGGATCCCGAAGGCCTGGAAGAGCCGGCGGGAGAGGTGGTGCGGGAGCCGGGCGCCCTGACCCCGTTTCTCCTCCGGGAGAGCGTGCCTCTCGCCGCAGTGTGGCTGCCGTCCTGCCCTTGCACTTGTCCC